GTGTGTGTGTGTGTGTGTGAGTGTGTGTGTGTGTGTGTGAGTGTGCGTGTGCGAGTGTGTGTGTGTGAGTGTGAGTGTGTGTGAGTGTGAGTGTGAGTGTGTGTGTGTGTGTGTGTGTGTGAGTGACGTGTGAGTGTGAGTGTGTGTGGGTTTGAGCATCAGGATGAAAGCTGACTGACGTTGATGAGGTAAAGGACGAGTGATCGACCTCACAGCATTCAGAGGCGTTCAGACGAGTGACTCCAGCATCTCCACATGTGAGGAGGATGAAAGGACAGAGAGACGTCACACACACACAGACACACTCTGATGATCATCCCTCCATCTCTTGAAGGTCAAGAATGACTGATCTTTGTGGTTGTTCTTACTTTTTAAAATGTTATTGTGATCAGTGAGCCAGAATTAATTGGCTGCTTAATTGGCATATGGGTGTTAATTCCTGCATTCATGGAGTTATTCATTACATTTTGTCTTATGTTGATGATTCAGCAGCCTCACATCTATAAATAAAAACACAACACAATCTATCCTGAAATACAGTTTATAAAGTCTAACCATCAAATTCCACAGAAACCTCCTGCAATCTATTTAAATACACTGATAAAAACTTTTGTAAAAACAATTTTATCTCACAAATTGCTTGTAAATTTCAAACAAACAGCAAGTAACACTTGAAGTAGAAAGCCTGCATTAGTATTTTCTTGTGAAACATACTCCAGTCATCTTTGTTGATTTAAAACCTTAACTTTTTTTTTGCTTGACTTGCACTTTACCTGTTCTAATCTATATTCCCCTTCATTTTCAGTTTCTTGCACATTATTTGATTTCTTTATTGTCTGAACTAGATGTAAAGTATTGAAAACGATAATAATCACTCCAGTGAAGCTATATTAATTTCCCCAATAATGTGCTAAATTGTAAATCCATTAAGCAACATATTACAAGTGCTTCTCCTCTCTTTCAAAAGTCAATAACTCAGTTTACTGATGCTGTCCTCCTCACTATGCATGATTTTATGGTTAGTTTTATTTTATTATGTTATATAATATTAATAAATTTGTAATATTCTATATTTAATATTATTAATATATATATATATATATATATATAGAGAGAGAGAGAGATAGATATATATATTATATCTTTTTGCAGCAAGGTTTTTCATACAAATAAGATGAATAGTGTTTATTAAATTGCATTTTAACGAACTTTTGAATGAACTTTTTCTTGTGCTGATTTTGATCTAATGTGAAAATATCAAAAGAACTGAAGGTCGTTTCTGAATTTCTCTCCTCTCCTCCAGACACACACTTTCAGCTCATAATCTCTGACAGCAGAATCAGAGAAATATGAATCGAATCTCTCTTTCCTGAAGTCTAGACACTGTTTTTCCTGCAGCGTGATGCATTTGTTCAGTCAGTAGCACTCAAGTCACATCATGCGCCGCTTCATTGTTATTGCTCTCAGAACACTTCATTTGGGTCAGATGACTGAGAGACCAGACAGAGAGAGAGAGTGTGTGTGTGTGTGTGTGTGTGTGTGTGTGTGTCTCATTATCAGTCCTGCGTGCGATTCCAAATGGACTGATGTCTCTCTATGTCTGCCCTCATCTCTCTGTTTTCTCTTCCACAAGGTTTATAATCTTTTCTCATTTCTTGTCTCTGATGTTTCCTCCATCTCTCTCTTCACATGTCTTCCTCTCAGTGTGACTCTCTCTCTCTCACACACACACAC